GTTATAAAAAAAAATATATACTGCCAAATCTTCCAGCTAATATTCCTAAACAAACGCCTAACTAATGATTATGTGCATACTAAAATAAATCAAAATAATATCATACAAATTATATATTCTAAATACATAATATTTTTGTTATTATCTTAAAATAACTTAAAATATCCTAAATATTTTGACATAACCAATGTCATACTCTACGAATGGTACTCCTAAATCAACAATAACAAAATTATATATATAACGGTATTTATGCTTTCAAAAAAAAAAAATATTAATAATAATAATAATAATAATAAGTGCATATAAGATAGAAACATCATCCAAGGGGTTTAGAGGAGGAATACTGTTAAATACAATTATAATAAAAAGATACCCATATATATATAAACTGATGCGTTGTCTATATAAAATAATAAAATCTTGATGCATTGACATGTATATAGTACATACCTGTGATAATCACCGGTTCATCCACATTAATCTCAAACAATAGCGATTGACAATTTAAAAGTAAGATACGATGGTATAATTTTTTTTTTCTTCTTTTGATTGATGCAAATATACAAATTATGAGAATAGAATAATGTTTTTTTTTTTTTAGATATGTAACGTAAACAGAATTTGAATCAGTTTAGTGTTTTAGATAAACTAGGAATCAGTTCTTTTTTACATTAATCTAGTAAGATAATTAATTACCCTAGGAATCAGTTCTTTTTTAAATTAGCAAAACTCCAACAGGTTCTCCACCTAAGCTTCCACCTTGGTCCAACTCAGACTCCATGTCATTGCACTAGTAGAAGGGCCAACACTACTCCCAGGTTGCAAGTTAGGGGACTTAAAGGCTTGCAGCACTTCACCGTCAACCAGATCTACTGGGCCACAGTCCCTAGTTTCAGATCCTGCATCAGCCACCCCTCCAACACCTTCAACAACCACAACAATAGAAGAACTCTCCCCCAAGCCAGGTTTTTGAACCAGATCAAAGGCAGGAGTTGGGTGAACAACTTCCTTAGGTCTAGAAACCACCTCCAATGGCTTCTCTTCCTCATCGCTAGAGATATACTCCACTAGTTTGACCCCTCGAATCCTCTTCCTAGCAATCAACGAAGCGCGACGAATTGGTTTCATAATGCCGGATCCTCGCCGAGGTTTGTACTTTTGGGGAGAAGAACGAGCCTTGGAATTTTTCCTACCAGATCCAAGGGACTCATAGCAAAAAAGGTCTGGGCTCTCATCATTTGGAGCACTCATGCTGAAGAACAAGGTAAATCGAGCAAAGAAAATAAAGAGAGAGAATGGAGAAAACCCAGAAAACGAAGAGAGAGAGATAGATCGCCGTAGGAGAGAGAGAAAGTTGGGAAAATGAAGAACTAGGGTTGGGGGGTTTTCTGGAGAGTTCTCTAGAATTCAAAGAGCTCAACCATCTTCATCAGATGAATTAAATGCAGATGCATTCAATGAAGGTGGTTGGGGAATTGGTGAATTTAAAAGGTTGGAATTAAATTTAGTGGGAAGGGTTAATTTAATTAATCTTGTGTCAAGGATAATGAAATCGGATTTGTAGTGTAAATAAGGTGTTTTTTTTAAAAAAAAATAAAAATAAAAATTTAAGGATATAATGTTCATTTTGCACCCAAAAACTTACTTAAAAAGGAAAGAAAAAATTTCTGTTGCGAGTAATGTGAAGCAGCCATTTTTAACAAATGTTGCGAGTTATGCGAAGCGGAGGTAGTATTAGTTTTGTAGTATTAGTTTTGAGTGAAGCTGAGTGAGAAGAGGAGAGAAAAGAGAAAAGAAGAGTTGCAAGATGAAGGACTTGCTACTCGAAACTATGGAGAAAGAGTCTTTAGCTAGTAATAGGTTGTTGTTGTATTGTAGTAAAGAGTCTTTGTCTAAAATCTCTTGGGGTCGAGATTTTTCCTCTTGTATAGGGCCAAGAAGTTTTCCATACAAAAATTTCTCTTCACATTTTGAGTTCTTTAAGCTTTCGTTTTTAAATTTCGCAAAAAAATAGCTAAATAGTCAAACTACAATTCACCCTCCCTCTTGTAGTATTCATAGGGGTACACCGTACATCACGGGGCACCTCCCGGCACAAAACTAATGGTCTTTAAATTCTTTTCGCTTTTTAACTAAAACAATACATACTCTTTTCTACAAATATTGCAACAAGGATGAAATTACGCATCCTAAAGCACATTTTATATGTTAAATATCTATAATTATATAAGAGTAAAAATTATAAAAAGTTGATACTGTGAAAGTATTTTATGAGACAAATCTAACAAGACCCTACATGACTATATTTTACTTTACGTATAAATTAAATATGTAGTCAAACAAGCGTGATGAATAGTGCAAAAGTCCAGTTGTTGCAATATTACTAGAACGGAGGAAGTATTAAAATTGAAAACAATCTTTTTTTTTTTAAATGGTTTTTTTTTTTAATTTTTTTTATCACAATATTTATTTCTTTCACATTACTTACTTAAAAAATCTAAACAGTCAAATTGTTGCACTTTCAAAAACAAAATTGTATAGATCCGTTGTATAAAGTGTATCAGTAGCCATTAATAAAATGCTCCCCTTTACTCTTTGATCTAAAAAAAGTGTAATAATTTGACTAATATACAGGTTTGTTTTTTAAGTTGCAACAAAAGAAAATTTTTAAATCTCACAAATAATACTCTTTGTTGTAATAAAAAAAAAAAAAAAAAAAAGAAAAGAAAAAAAAGAGGTAATAGAGTTTTTACTTTTGTAAACAAGTGGATTAAATAGAGTAAAATATTGTTAGGAATCTATGTTACTACTTTAAGAAAACCCCAAAAAAAAAACTAGGTTGGATAAAAAACTTAGCTCTGATACCATGTTAGATAATCTCAAACTCCTTGAATTGGAATGTTTACCATTGATTCATATATATAGTGTTACAACAATGAGACCTAATCACGTTAGGAATATTCTATTTACAAAATCACAAAATTATGTCCTTCTCTACAAAATAATATCTACTCCCTTCGTTTCTTATTTCTTGCAACATTTGCCATTTATGGTTACTTCACATTTCTTGCAACAAGGTTTTTTTTTCCTTTTATAGTAAGTTTTTTAAGTGTAATTTACCATATTTACCTTATTATACTCTGATTAATGGGTGGATTTATACTAACCTAAAAAGTAATTACTCTCCTAATATCTTATCATCTTTTAATCCTTCCCACCAAAATTCATCAAACCCTAACTCATCCATATTAATTCATTCATCAGATTAAAGAACAAAACTTGTTCATCTTCCCAACTGCTGCATTCATTGCCATCTCTCCACCAACCTGCATTAACTCCATGGCCACTCTTCTCTCTCAATTGCATATAAATTTGCTTCATCCTCTTTCTGGTTCCTTCGGAACCCTAAGTCTGCTTCACTGCTCTCCTTCTCCGCAACCTCACCTCTTTCAGCATTACGCCTTTCTTAGTCCCAGATCTGTTGTACAATCTTCACCAAAATGAGTTCCACTAACCTTAAAGACGCTTCCCTTTTTTGCTTTGAGAATCTCCCACTAGAAGAACTGAAAGACAATCTACCTCCTAGAGCCACAAGGTACATCTGTAAATGGGAAACTGCAAAATGAAACCTGTTCGTCGCGCTAGGACAAGGCCTCTCCGTCACAGGCACATTCGCGGTGCGAAGCTTACTAAGTATATTTCATCATATGATGAAAGTGTGGCGAAGTCAGATCTTGTAGACAAGAACCTAAAAAGGGCGTTGATGTGATAGATCTGGAAGGTGAGGCTGCCGGGGAGGCATCTGGGACGGTTGTTCAGGCTGGGTCTAAAGTTGATGGCCCAGCTGAGTTCCCTGCAACTGTTGAGGCATCTGCTTCTGCCTCAAAGGCGATGCTTGAGGAAGCCAAGTCCCTGAATTCCAAGCAGCAGAATAAGGGCTCCCTTTCGAGGATGAAAAGGGTAAGATCCAGCTTCCCTGTTGATCTGGAGAATTTTGACGAAGGCTATCAGCATTTATGAGGGAATGTCATCCCGAATGGTTTGCTGACAAGTGACCCTACAGCGTATAACTCTTCTTACCCTAATTTTATTCTAGTCTATTTAATTATTGTTAATTTTTTGCATTTGAACTGTGGTTTGAGTCCTTGATTCTCTGCTGGTTAGTCTTTACTTGATCGTGTTAGTCAGTATGCAATTATGATGAAAATGAGTCATTTCCAAATGAAAATACATGTTGTCATGTGTGATTTGTTGGATAATTATGTGGAATATGAGTCCTTTTGTCTGAGTAATGAGGTGAAATACCTAGAACTAAGTACTGGTTGTTATATGATGCATTGATATGGTTAAGAATTGGCCAGGGGAATGTGATATTGATGAATGATGATCAATTTTTTTTTTTTTGATGTTGTTATGGATTGAATGTTTCACCTTAAGGATGAATTGAGTCCCTACAATGTTCTCAATGATATGCTGATTGAGTGAACAACCATGCTGGAAGGTGGAAAGGGCATTTATTTGGTTGGTGTCTGAGTCCCCCTATTTCATGCCCCTTGTTTCTGTTTTTTTACCAAATGATGAAGGGATTCATTTGAATTGGAATTGCTTATGGTTGATTTGCCCCATCTTAGTTCATTTAAACTTGGTGTAGAGGTAACATCATAATGCAATGGTTTTGATATAAGCATACCCTTCCTGATAGTATTCTGAACTTGGTCTTACTACCATAACTTGCTAGAGTTTCCAAAAGCTTTACTACATAAAGTTAGCAACATTGTTTTCAAAAGCATGACCCCCTTCCCCTTTTACATGACTGCTTTATAAATATCTACTATGCATGATCAAAGTACACATAACCAAAGCATTAAAAACATAACAACTTCAAAAATAACTAGTGACTAATGAGCATAATTTGGTGTTACCATGGTCTTCAAAATAATTCTGAGGTTATGTGTGGCAGTCACTGTGTTCACTTGTTTGTCCCCTTCACCCTCTGTTCAATTAGCATCCACTTCCATGTATGCATCTTCCCCTGTAGCATCTGTTGTTGGAATAAACATAGTGTCCAGATAAGTAACAACTTGGTGTACAAGTTCTCTGGAAACATGTATATGCTTTGGTAGAATACCTAATCTGTCCAGCTTTTTCTTCTTCATATGTGGAGGTTGGAAGTTATTTCCCCCTTGCTTTGTGAGGATTTGAATCATAATTAACTGAAGTGTAAGCCATATGTACTTGTTCACCTTTGTCTCAAAAGCATTGTACGCATTAGTGACTTCCTTGTTTAAGTCATCCAAGTTGTTAGAAAAGGATTGGTATTGGAGTGATTGGATGACTTCAAATAACCCTAGGTTTAACACATTTAAGTCAGGTGACTGTGCTGGCTGGTACACCATTTCAATGTTGAAACCATTTGCATGACATGCATCAATGAATTCCTGACCTTTAGGAATCTGATGAGGCCTTGCATTATCCCATTGTATTTTGATGTTCTTTGGTAAACTGGCTGGCCATTGTTCCTGTATTGCTGGAATGATGTGTTCCATCAACATGTTTTTGACTGCATCTTTGTTCACATTCTGCACAGCCTTTGTTTCCCATGTACCAGCATCTCTGTTCTTGGTTTTCTTCTTTGCCATTTGTTTTGTGACAAATGGAAATATTCCATACTTCCCATCATGCAATAGAGTCTCATTCCTTGCTGTTAGTTGAGACGAACCCTACAAGAGGGGGATGAATTGTATGTGAGTTCCTATTGACTACTTTTGCGGAATTAAAACAGAATATAAAGGAACTTTGCAAAGCACACAAGATTTTATGAGGAAATCTTCCAGGGCCCAACTAGAAGTAAAACCTCGACCCTCCAAGGGATTTCAAACACCAAAACACTTCACTATAATAGGGCAAACTCTTCTAGTTATAACCTATTATAATCAGACCTTTCTCACAAATTCCTGACTGAACTTGCTACACGATAGGACCTTATCCTACCCAATCTAAATCCCAGACTTAGATTCTAATTGACACTCCCTGAATGTCTACTCACTCAGCTTCAATCTAGAAGCTTACAGTCTATATGCAATAAGCTAAACACACACCCAAACCAAAACAATACAAACTATTGACTCTAATATGTGATAGGAAAGCTACACATGGAATTCGAAACTAATATGACAAAGTTTAGACTTGGCGAACTTACATTTAAACGCTCTCTTCAGATTCTTCACGCATAAACTCACAAGTTGTGTAAATTATGAATTCTACTTTATATACAAGAAGTACTCGTATGTAAAGTAGGATTTTCAAAAAGACAAATTATAATACTATCAATTTCATAAAACACATTTTGTAAAAATCTTTTGTAAAGAAAATCTTTTTAGAAAACTTATCAAAGATATAATTTACGAAAAGAATAATATCATGTAAAACCAGATTCTATAAAATCTTTTTAGGAAATTGAAAACTTATCTTTTATAAACTTTCCATTTTTAAGCTTGTCAAGCTTTGTCACGCCTCTAATAAATTCCATGCATAAACTAACCTAACATATTTACAATAATCCTTAGATAAATAAACTTAACAAAAAGACTTATATTCTCTAGTTAGATTATCTCATTAATCGTTGTACGTTTACTTGGGCTTCACGCAGACCAAGATTGAGTTCCTACTGTCCTTCACTCTCCAGCTCCTTGCTGGAACTTTGCAGGCCAAGTTCTTATGGAACTTGCTATCTTCAACGCAGACCAAGTCAATCTTCTCAACTTGCTGTCAAGCTCTTGTTAGAAAACTTCTCTTCATGTTCCTATTGGGGAACTCAGTTAGTTCCACTGAGGAACTCTTCTTCTACTTTCTTTAACTTTTCTTGGATTCTCCTTGTGTCTTTATAGACAGATTACTCTTCCACTTCCCAAGTCAACTTCACCTGTTCTAGTTACAACACTTAGAAAAATCACATTAGTTGAAGTTTGCTTTTATTCATCATCATCAAAACTTTTAAGCTTCAACATACAAGGGTTTCCCAATCTTACCCATAAACATTACCTTTACTTTGTATCTCTTTGATTGTTGGCACCTGTATGGATCTTCTTCTTTGGGTAGGAGGTATAATTTCTTGTTTTTGGGTTCAAGTAGAACCATTTTTCATCAATATGTATGGTTTGTTGCATATCTGCAAATTTTGGGTCCCCATGAGCTGGAACTGGATTGATGTGACTTAATACCCACTTCAATTTGGCAATTTTGTGGATGGATGTCAAAGCTGGATGGTTTGAATTTGTGTGAGTCCTCAATCTGCCCTTCTTCCTTAATCTGTGAATTGTTGAATGTGATACATTCAGTGCTCCAGTGTAGCTTCTCTCTGTTGTCCTCTTGTATAAAGGGACAGATTGTAACCACTCATCAGAATATTCTTTGGGGTTTGGCCCTGTTCTGCAAAGTTTTTATTGACCTGACATTAATGACATTCCCCTGGGCTAGTTGTTTCTTAATCTCTGCATGTAATCTGGACATTGTACTTCTGTGAATGTTGAATTTCCTTGCTTGTTTGGATAAAAAAAACCCCTTAGAATTTCACCCCTTGCATCTGTAACAGAATAGCATCAACAATTTCTCTTTTCTGTAGCATGGCAAGGTCTCTCATTTTTCTCTCCTTGACTGCTACCTTGCTGGTTATTTACAGTTTGTGAGTATGCCCATTCTGCATCATATTGCTCATTTGAATCAGTGCTTGTATCTGTAGAATCAGTCCATCCCCCTTCTGCATCTTCCCTAGTAATTGTTCAATCCCAAAAAATTCTTCTTCAACATCAATATCCATTGACAGATGATAACTTGTTTGCCTAGGTCTGAAGATGGTGATGAAGTGGAGGATGCAATTTTTTGGACAACTCGAACTGAACCATCCTTTTGTATGTGTGAAGATGATGATGCTGCCCCTAATTTAGCACTAATTATAAGTAGGAAGTTAGTTTGTAGGTATTGAAGGTAGTTTTAGAAATTAACTAGTGCTAAATTTTGATGTTGAAAATGATATGCATGTTTTGGGGTTTTTTGATGTGTCCTGCGGGAGAGTTACAACACCGAGACTGACCTCCAACTATCTGTACCTGCAAAACAACGGAGATTCCCAAGGGTGGGAGTTCCGCCTCCGACGATCAAGTTAGAACGTGTTTGAGGAGTATAGTGCGGAAAGTAATAACCCCTCCTGAGTCAGGAGGGTTCTGCAATGAGGATTGCTTAGTTAATAACCCCTCCTAGGTCAGGAGGGTTTGGCAATGAAGATTGCTTGGTTTTTTAGAGTATTGAATGTGTATTCAATGTATGTTCTCTATATTGTGTATTGTGTTTTTTATATCTTGTCTTCTTATAAATGAGGATGACTCCTCTATTTATAGAGAAGATGATCAATCCCTTTCTAGGGTTTGGTGACACGTGTCAGCAAGCTAGCGGGACACATGTCGCGTTGACAGTGGTCCGCTTGTTAGGGGTATTTTACCCCCAAACATTATTAAAGGTAGAGAAAGTTGTGTAAAAACTTGGTAAATAATTGTTGTCTTTTGAATTTTTTATACTCTCCTTTAGAAGGGAATGTTAAAAGGGGAAAAAAAATGAAGGGAAGTTGATTTTCAAATTTTGGTGAAAATTTGGAAGGAAAATGTCCACCCTCTCAAAATCAGATTTGTTGAAAAAATTTAAAATATAGGTAGACCCAACAAAATTCCCTCCTTTTTAGTACTTAATCACATGCACTTAAAAGGTGCTTTAACCCCCCTTAAAAGTTTTGACTTGGGAAATGTGCAACCCTCTATTACAAGAAATAAGAAACGGAGGGAGTAGGATATTTATCATATATTCTAAAAAAAATAAATAAATAAATAAATGACGTCGTTTGTAGGCGAATCAATCCCCTTAAAGGCTAAAACCCTACAGAAACCCCAAAACACTAGACTCCATTCTTCAATTTCTCAGATTGCCATAATTTTTCTCCATTATATTTCTGTAACACCCATTTGAAGCTTCATCAATATTCTTAATCAATTGAAATAACCAGTCTTTCTGCCAAACCCATTTATGCAGGTTGTTTAATTCTGCTTTTCAATCAAACCCCAGATGAAATCTTTGAGAGTTTTAAGAAATTTGTCATCTTTATCTTCCAAACCCCCCAACAAAACCCAGTTCAATCCCTCATTTTTGTGCCAATTTTTCTCTGCTCAATCCCAATTAGATCAACCAACAACCTCTGAAAATGAAACTGACAATGAAGCTTCAACTTTTGACAGTTCCCACTTCACTCTGCCATCAGAAAACACCCAAAAGTTGAACCCCATAAAGGTGGAACCCACTTGGGATGAGAGCTTTAGGGCCAGGGTCAAGAGTAAGGTGTTTGGGGAAGAAGAACCCACAAAGGGGAAATTGAAGATTAAGAAGAAGAAGGAGAAGGTGGGGAAAGGCGAGGAGGTGGTGGAGGAGGAGGAGGAGAGGAAGCGGGTGCTAGCTCGAGCGCTACTCGAGGCGGCACTTGATGTGCCCGATGAGGATGATGAGGAGGAAGAGGGCTTGGAGGTGAAGGTGGAGGATCAGAAGTCCTTGTCAGTTGGAATTATTGGGGCTCCTAATGCTGGTAAATCAGCACTGACTAATTACATGGTTAGTCTTTTTCTAATTATGTTTGTTATTGAGGTTTTTTAAAGTTGATTTTATTGCTATGATAGTGTGATTTCTGTAAATGTATCAATTATTATGCTAAGATATCAAGATTTTACATAGCAATGAGGTTTTTGGTGCTTTGAATGTCTTTCTAGATTGTAACTAGGGTGCCTCTAATATATAGAATTGCATTGTTGAGTCATTGTTTACTATTGTTATTAGGTGCTCAATGCAATGGGATGATGGAGTTTAAGAAAAAATGTTAATGTCTTAATGTGTCAATATAGTTGCATTAATTGTAAATGGTCCGTGCTTTTCAGTTTGAAAACCTTAGAGAACGGATGGTATTGACTGTATGAGAGCTCAAGAAGGTAAAGGTTTAAGAATATTATAGATAAGAGAGAATGGAAGCAACTTTCTGTCTGTGGTAGTTGTTCATGAAACAATAATTCTATTCAAATGTTGGGATGTAAATGTATTCTTATGAAAGGAAGGTCTGAATGTCATTGGAGTTACATATGATTTTTTGTTAAAAATGTGTTTATCCTGGCTTAATTCTCTGTTGGTTTTAATGCAAATGGCTGTTGCTTTACATGTATTGCAGGTTGGGACTCAAGTTGCTGCTGTTTCACGTAAGACAAATACAACTACCCATGAAGTTTTAGGGGTGATGACCAAAGGAGATACCCAGATTGTATGTTTTGTTCTCTAATTGTTCAAATATGTATAATTGTTGATGTTGCTTTGCCCTATCTCTATAAGATCTAATAACCTCACATAATTGTAATTCTAGATTATCTTTGAGAACGAGATTCATGTAAACTCACAGTATGAGCACAGTAGTGCACACGTATGATGTGCTAGTTAACTTGCCAATGAACCTTACGCATGTCATTATGCCAGACTCATACCTTGCCTAGTAAAGAAGGTGGCTCAGGCACAGGGCCACACAGCCCTCCGCTCACCAGGAGGAGCTCATACCATACTGTGCTTTAATATTGTGGACTTGTAGCCCTTTTAAAAGAGAATCGACCTTTTAATTTTTTGTTGGTTACTGATTGCAAAACATGTTGCATTAAGCAATATAGGTGGAATCAATTATGGTGAAAAAAATGGATGATTGAAGGGAAATTCTACATGGTGGCCTTCTAGATTGAAAATTCTATTTAGTGGCCTTCTAGATTGAAAAATTCCATTTGGTGGAAACTTTTGTTGGCCATAGTTTTTAGTTACCCCCTAATATGGTATAATTTAGTGTCCTAAAGTCATTAAATAGCTAACCCTTTCTGATTTTGGGCTTATCTTTAACCCTAATCCCCTAAATTACTAACCTACCCCCAAATAAATGACTAACCCACACCACTACCGTCCACCCACACCCAAAACTAGCCCCTCCCCCCTCCATTATTCCCTGCGAGCCCGCCCCGCACCCAGCCAACCATCCCCCTTCCTCCCTCTATCGTAGAAGCTCCAACATCCCCCTTCATTCGCTGCTTCGCCTTCCTTCATTCACGCACACCAGCAAAGCACGACTGTCACAAGTCGTTGCCCACCAAAGCCAAGCCAACACCAACACATGGCAAACAACCCCTGCCCTCAAATTGTAACCCTCCACTTTCCTCCCTCAATCGCTGCTAAAGAAAGCATCAATGGAGGGGAAAAAAGCTCATAGTACGGTTCAATGGAGGGGAGAAATGGTGTGGGTTGTAATGGGGGAAGGGGGTGGGATGATTTAGGTGGTTGGGGTGGGTTTTTGGGTGGTGGGCTTGGTATCTGGTGAAGTGGTGGATTCAAGTGGTGGAGGTGGCCGGGTTTTCGAGGTGGTGGGGGTTTGTTTCGGGTGAAATGGGTGAATTTGGGTGGTGGGGTTGGTTTCGTGGCAGGGCGGGTGGGTTTTGGGTGGTGGGGTTGGTTTCGGGTGAAGGGGTTGATTCGAGTTGTGGAGCTAGCCGAGTTTTCTAGGTGATGGTTGCTTAGTGGCTGGACGGTTGTGGGGTCAATGCTGGTGGTGGCTTAGTGGCTGGACGGTTATGGGGTCAACGGTTGTGGTGGCTAGGTGGTGGTGTGGTGTTGGCGAAGGGGTAAATTAGTAATGTAATTCATTTAGGTTAAGAAATTAACCATAAACCAAAGGGTTAACCAATTTAATGAGAATTTGCCCACTACCTAGAGTTGATCAAATGTAGAGGGTCACTAGAAACTATAGCCAAAAAAACTTTCCACCAAATAGAATTTCCTAATCTTAAAGACCTCCATGTAGAATTTCCCATGATTAAAATAAGGAGGTGGCTTATTCCCTTTCATAAATTTAGCTTATCTTGCTTAATAGAATAAAGGGGAAGCTTTGTAACTTCCTTGTGCGTCAATTGAAATTAGTATTTGTGAAAATGATTTTGTATCTTGAGCATGCAGTTCTTGCTCTTTTATGAAGAGGGGACTAGGGATTGTCTTTAATGGAATTTTCTTTAACTCTTATGATTGAGGGCTCTATTGATTACTCTTTCCTGTCTCTTAAGATCTTGGTTTTATTGTATCTATACATATAATGTTGCATTGTTATTTCTTCTAATATATTTTTGAAGGGGCATCAAGCCAGATTTTTATAGGCATGTGTCAGTATTATATGCTAATTTCCTGTACAGTGTTTCTTTGATACCCCAGGACTGATGCTTAAAAAGAGTGGATATCCAGCTAGGGATATTAAAGCTCGTATTGAATCTGCCTGGAATTCAGTTAATCTATATGATGTGCTCATAATCATCTTTGATGTTCATAGACATCTCACCAGGTTAGTTTTTTATTATAGTTTATAGAGAATTTTCCCATTCTACTGACTGCCATCTAAATTTTTTTGTTATGATATGCATGTTGCTCTCTGCCAATTTTGCTGAGCTACTCCAAGTTGGATTAATCGTAATGTTTAATTTCTGAACTTTCATTGAGTTTGGGCATAGGGTTTTAGCAATTGATACACTGATTTAGTCTATGCATATGCAACTTCTGTGACTAGTTATGGGTTTTTTCTCACTTGTTTTTGAAATAAATCTTGAACTGAGAAAGTAAATCACCAGGGAATAATTCTATTTCAGGATTGGATTCTGCAAAAATCTTTTAGCTTTACTTGTATATTGCTTCCTTTGCTCTTGGGAATATGTAAATCTCAATAATATCTTATGTGCCTAAATGTCAGTCCTTAATGATCTTAGTCTTGCTAGAATGTTCAAAGTAAATTATATTCTATCAGTAAGGTTTTCCGAACCTACTGAGATGGTGGATTCCAGTAGCTCTTTTCTTGCATATGTTTGCTTTTGGTAATAATCCGAGTATGATAAATATGGTGCAGTAAACTCATAAAACTTTATACTTCATATAATATTGCTTCTGAGGTAGAGATTTGTTGAGGTTTTTCTGGTATCTAATGTTTTGCAGCTTATATTTGTCTCTTGATATTTGATCACAGCTGCAAATTTTAATCGATTAAACTTGTCCAATATGTGTCATTTATTGCAATGATGTGTGATGATAACTATATTTGTGTTCTTCATGGTGTTCCATATGTATGATTCTTCATGCATGCCTGTTCATAATTCCATTTGTATTATCTGAGCTCACAAAGTAAGTCATAACTTATCCTTAATTGAACCTTCAAATCTGTCCTTGATTCTCAGGCCTGATTCAAGGGTCATAAGACTAATAGAGCGCATGGGGTCTGAACCTAATTTAAAACAGAAGCGTATTCTCTGTATGAATAAAGTTGATTTGATTGAAAAGAAGAAGGATTTGCTGAAGGTCTCTGAACAATTTAAGGATTTGCAAGGATATGAAAGGTAGATTACCTTTTTAATTGCTTTGCATATATATTGGGTTTTAGCTCTGCAGCAGAAAAGCTGGTTTTCTGATTTGCTATGTTCTACTAGGGTTTTCATGATATCTGGGCTGAAGGGTTCTGGCGTAAAAGATCTTTCTGCATATCTGATGGAGCAGGTACCTCTTGTACTTCCCATAATAAAATTTGTGTTAATGCTACACTTTCATACTTGGTTACAACGAAACTTGAATAGGAATTTTCTTGCACACATCCCTGTTACCTTTTCATTTCTAAGAACTTATATATCAAATCTTAGGGGGTTTAGTGACATAAGTTCTGGTTAGTTGAATGCTTGGGTCAATATGGGTACACTAGTACTAGTTTCATTCTTGAAGTTCCTTGAACTAGGCTCTTTGTTGCCTAAGCATTAAAGATTTTTTCCCCTGATTCTGGTTGATTCTATTTTGGCATGCATCGTATCTACATCTCATGACTGTGACTTTGTCTTTTTCTTTTGATGCTTGTACTGCTTAGTATTCTTTATTTTGACATTTAGTTGTCTTTTGAGTAGGTTTCCCTACCTTCCAACAGTATTCTAGATGGATATATCTACAATTTGGAGTGGCAGTGTCTTATTTGCAAAATAAAAATGCCTTATTGTTGTTTTTTGACAATGTAGGCAACTGAAAGACCTTGGGATGAAGATCCATTCACAATGAGTGAAGAAGTTATGAAAAACATATCCCTGGAAGTAGTCCGTGAGAGGTTGTTAGATCATGTGCATCAGGTAGTGCATTTTACTTCCTCTACATCTTTTATCGGATTCTCCCTTGCATTATTTTTCTTGTGTTGCATTTTTGAGTTGGAAATTTGGCATTGCTAAGCACATTTGACCAGTGCTGTATATCAGAGATTTTTAGAACTTATCAACTAATTTTTATTTATTTATATTTTTTGGCAGGAAATCCCGTATGAAATAGATCACCGATTGGTAGATTGGAAGGATTTGAGAGATGGATCGTTAAGGATTGAGCAACATTTTTTAACTCAAAAAGAAAGTCAACGCAAGATACTTGTGGGGAAAAATGGCTCAAAGATTGGGTATGTCCTCTAAATTTAGTTTCTGTTTCCTATGTTACTTTGATCCAAAGACAAGGGTATATCAATTTTTTTGATACGGGAATAGGGGACTTAGTTAACCTAAGTGAAAGACTGGAAGTAGTAATCAGCATAGGTAATTGGGTATGCCCCATGCTTGTCAAGTTGATTGAATGGAGCTGACCGCAGCCTTTGTTGCCATTCTTTCTTTTGACATTCTTTTGTCTCTCTTTCTCTCTCTCTCTTTTCAATTACTTCTTTTTCATTTGCATGTAACTGAGTATTCAAAATAAGTATTACTTTCCTGAAAGTCACCCAATATCCTGATAAGTGAAAATTACCTGCCGTAACAGTTTCTATTTTGATATATTTTGGCAAATTCCTGTATGATAAATTGATAGTGGGAGAGTTGTTCCTCCATGGGGTTGGTTGAATGTTATTTTCCAAAGAGGTATTCTTGTGCGGGTTGACAAAATTATTATCTGTTTGAAATAGTTGTCTGCAAAGAAGTAATTTTGTAGTTGCCACAGAGTTCAGTCCTCATTAATGATTTTGAGGATAAGTTGATGTAAAACCTTAGTGATGAACTTCTGCTAATTTAAAGCCCTGAAAATAATATATCCCCTCTTATTGATTCTTTCCCTAATCAAAATATTTCGGCCTTTTGAACCTTGTTTACTGTAGGATTGTTGGTTTGTATCATGACTCACTTTTGTATTTTGGAATTTTATTTTTGTTAACTTCTACTGAATCACTACTCCCAGTGGCTTCAGATCAGGTTTCAGTTTTAGGAACTGTTTGTACCCAGTTCTGATTTCAGTTTCAAAGTTTTGACCTGATAGTGTTTCGTCCTAGCTAGTTTTTAAACAATTGCTTTGTATGCAAGTCAAATTTACTCTACTAAGCAAATTAGCTTGGGCTGCTTGACCTAAGTTATTTTTCCTGTGATCATCCATGTGTATGCACTGAATACATGTGTATTGTTCATGTGATTTGTCATTAGGAGGATTGGTATGGAAGCAAATGAGCAGCTAAGGTCGATTTTTAAGAGAAATGTCCATCTCATCCTGCAGGTTAGATTAAAATAGCATGGATTCTGGAAGCTCTTATACTTTTTGTTGTATATATATCAAGCATTCCCGAATTGTTATGTATTCCATTTTTTCAAGTCAATACATCAGTTATAGGTTTATATTTTCTTTATTGTTTGACTTGGAAACAACTAGGAGATAAATGTATCTCAGAACTACAGCTTGGAATACCCTTGTTCATTTTCTACAACTTTTTATACACAAAGTTTTGATGAATTTCTATATATCGGTTTGTATTTGAACAAATGTGATTTTGAGTGATTTATGTAGCAAGTCTTCACAAACTTAAACTTCCCATAGCTTCAAATCTCAGAGATATCCTATCAAAATCATAGTAGAGTAGGTATTAAGTTTTTTTAAGCTGAAAATGGCATCCTGTTAGTCGTTAATGAGAATGCTCTTATAATAGTTGCCATCCCATGCTCTTTCAGTTACTCGAATTTTTGTACTGCAAGGACATTAGGAAGATTATCTTGCTATATAGTTCTATAATGTCAATACAAATTCTTTCGTCAATATGTTAATTACAAAAGTTTTGCCATAAAGAATAGTATAGTGGTTCATGCACAGAGAATCTCTGTGTATATGATCGTGACAATTATAAACAAATAGTCTAATGTTGTATCTTTGCTATAGAGGCTATCTTTTATTCATCCTAAAATGTTTATTCCACACACCTTGGATGAAGGTCATAGTCACACACTTCACAGGAGAAAGACCAAAACCTTCCTTGCTTTTTGCAAGCATCACAAACATAAGCCTTTGCCATGTCTAATTTAAGCTCATGTACGTGCTTCGGGTCTTGAACTTTATGGGGCAATTTATCTCCTTCTTTCCTTAAAGAGGCCTCGATTCCTGCAATTCGTGGTTCTGTGAATGGGAATGCCATGGCTCCATACATGGAGATCATAGCCCTACCATTGGAGCTGATGGTTTTTCCATCTGGTCCAATTAGTATAAGGGTCGGTATACCTTTTATGTCAAAAATCCTTTTAAGGTCTTGCCGGGTTTTATCCTCGTACGGAATAGCTGGCCATGGCATGGTAGATAAGCTGCAGTTGAATTCATTGTGATCCCTATCAGTTGATATGAAGATTACTTCGAATGGTTGGTTTAGGATAGTTACAAGCTCCTTGTAAGACTGAATAAGTTGTGAGGTGAAATTTCGAGCAGGAGGGCACCAATGAGCTCCAAAATACAAGCCTATTGTCTTACCAACCAGCTCTGACACCAATATCTGCATAATCATTTAAACATGTCCTTATTAGACGAGGAAGAAATGTATGTGTAAACGATGAGGTTAGGGGACGAGAAATGACTTGAGCTCTTATCAATTAGGAGTTAGGTGTCTGATACTCTGATTTCTCCACCATTTTCCTTTAGACAATGTCCAAACAGGTAGAAGGCTATAGTACTTTCTATGCTACTTGTACTCTTCATTTAAATCCGAGTACTGTTGTTGTCATTTGAACTTTAAAACGTCAGGGAAAAAAAAGATTAATGCTCAAGAAGACTTGCCACATTTATACCTTTCTTCCATTTCTGGAAATGATATAGTCCCTTCCAGCATGTGCCAAAAGCTCTTCAATTCTACCACCTCGACGCTTTCTCTCATCCATTGCTCTTAATTCATCTTTTCTTTCTCTTGTAAATGGAAAGGCATCAGCACCGTAATCTTCAACCAAACTAACAACATTATCTTCAACAATATTTCCATTGACACTAAGTGGAATCAGTGCTGGGATATGATTAATGTTGAATAGACAAGTTAGTCGTGTACAGAGGTTTAAATCGAATGGAACAGCAAGCCAGGGCATTGTTTCAAGATGCTTTTTGTATGCTTCTTCATCTCGGTCAGAGGATACAAATATTATCTCTAGATTTTCTCCAGTCTTCTTCAGAGAGTTGTACATTTGTATCAGACTGGGGGTAAAGGCTTTGCAAGGCCTGCACCAGTTGGCTGAGAAGAATAGACAGGCTGTTTTTTCCGTCTATAGCGCTCCAAGGTACCTAACCAGCAAGTTATACTCTTTAGCAACTTACAAAATCTTGCCTTAGCTAACCTTTTGAGGGAAAATTGATGAGAAACATCTCTCTAAGCTTTAGAAATCATGTTATGAAGTTAGCTAACCTTTTGAGGGAAAATTGATGAGAAACATCTCTCTAAGCTTTAGAAATCATGTTACGAAGACATACCAAGAACAAAATAACAAAGAATCTAGCAAATAGTAACTAGTCTACAGAAGTAATACCTTTCCACTAGCAGATGTGAGAAACTCAATACCTTCAGAAGCTAATATCTTGTTGAACCCATTTTGGCCAACAGGCACGGCATGATGATCAGGTCCAGCCATGGTGATAGGAACTAAATATGTTCTTGATTCTGTTCTCTCGTCTTTTAGGCACTTAATCATCAACAGAAAGAAGCAAAAAATTTGCAGAAATCATTAACCTCATAAGGATTTTATAAACTTCAACTGTAATTATTCAAAAGATATGTTGATTCTAAATATGTAAAGTAGTCAAAATGTGGTAAAAAAATTGTTTGAAAAAGTCTACTAGGACATTCAAATTTGATTTAATGGTCTGTTGTTGTACTCAGGTTATTTTGGTTGAGAGAAAACCTCAAATTTAGTTGGTTAAAAGTCAAAGTACAATTTTTCTTTTTTTTTTTTTTTTTTGGTTGAAACAAGCACGAGAAGTTTAGCACATTTGGGGCTTACAGTTGGTATATATTTTCCTAACATCAATATCAAAGTTTTATGAGGCACAAGCTGTCAGATAGATAGGATAATTCAGAATTAGATACCCTACCAGAGTATAGTTTTATTTCTTTGTTTTATACGCAGTACTGTGCATTATTCCCTTCGTCTCAAAATAAAATTTTCACATTTTTTTTACTACGGAGTACGGTAAGGTTGAATTCTGATTTCTGACCATCAAGATTATTTGAAGTTTGAATGTATTAATAATCAAAATTATTGAACAAGAACTTTCTCTAGAGATTAAGGGAGTACTGTCTTCTAAATCCTCTGAAAACTTTGTCAGCAAATTGAAACCATTCCAGCTTATCTGTTAATCTGTTTCACAATTATTCATTATTCTTTTTGGAGTTCAAATAGAAATACAGCTTATCTGAAACTAAACCCATTTCACAAGTACTGATTACCTTTTTTAGAACCAAATATCAAATTTTCCTGCCTTTTCTTCTTACTCAGAGACAAAGACGAAGAAAAAAGGAGAAAAAAAAAACATATATATTACAGAATATAATAATTTAACTCCTCAATAAACAGAAAAATTAGACAAAATGATAGAAAAGATTAGAATTTTATGCAAAATGAATCAATATTTACTATAAAAAGAAATTAAAGATTGAAGGGTATACCTCAAATTAAAGTTTTGGGGTGGTGAAGAATAACTCCTTTGATGAATATCAGCAAAGAAAAGCTTGGTCCCGGAAATAGAGAAGATAATGGATATTATTTATTTTGTGACAAAGTGACCAAAGTAAGCAAGGCAAGTTAAAGCTTGAGCTTTATTTATTTATGTGATAAACTGACTTGGGAAGTTGGTATTGCTTGGAATATCCGAATTTATGGCTTTGTTTCAATCCTATTACGCGTCTTTATCGCTCTTTTCCAATTTAGAGTGTGTTTTTTTAGTGAGAGAATTGAGCATGAAAAGGACGGAGAAGATCATGGCAAGGGCAATCGGGATTCGTTTTGGATCATATTCGAGTGATAAGTAATATTGGTGATATTTGAGTTTGTTTATGTTTAGCTCTTTTTCCTTTTTGTTAAAAGGGTAAATTACGGGGGAGGGTCTTCCACCCTATCACAGGAATGGAGATTATGAGGAGTCGAACCCCCATCACATGGGTGGGGGTGGGGGGGGGGGGGATAGGGAGAGATGAAGGGACTAACCATCTTCTCGCCCCTCTTTTTCCAATTATCTTATCAGTATAGAGTATAGAATAGCAAACATTTTTTTTGGGTGTATGGGGTTCACCAATGAGAATATCATCGATTTTTTGTATTTAGAAAAAGGTAATAAAATAATATTGTCGTAGTTCTTTTGTCAAATGGTATGTCCCAATGTTTTTAGTAAAGTGAGTTAAATTTTATCTTTATTCCTTGACTTTTGGGGTTTTTTTATTATTATTTTTTAATCATAAACTATTTACCTTCTAATAAATTATCGTTGTTTTTTTTTCCTTATATTTAATCTTCTTAAACAAATTATTTATGGTCTTACAATCATTTTCCTTCATAATTGGTGCCAAAAAAAAAAAAAAAAGGAAATAACACATAGGAGAGGAAAAATTGATTCTTATAATCCCACCTTTGGCCGGTTCGCTGTTAATAATCCCACCTTTAGATTATTATTTAATAATCCCACCTTTATAGGGGATCTTCTTCCATTGATCCCTTACAACCGGTAACCTGAACATTGGGTAAACTTTGTTTTTTTTTAATATGAGTGACACATGTCATTAAATAATTGGTACAAAAAAAAAACTAAACTTTTTTGTTAAGAAAATGTTATTGGTCAATTTCACTAATGGTCATATTCTGGGTGTATGGGGTTCACCAATGAGAATATCATTGATTTTTTGTATTTAGAAAAAGGTGATAAAATAATATTGTCGTAGTTCCTTTGTCAAATGGTATGACCCAATGTTTTTAGTAAAGTGAGTTTAATTTTATCTTTATTCCTTGACTTTTGGGTTTTTTTTATTATAATTTTTTAATCATAAACTATTTAACTTCTAATAAATTATCGTTGTTTTTTTTTTTCCCTTATATTTAATCTTCTTAAACAAATTATTTATGATCTTACAATCATTTTCCTTCAGAATTGGTGCAAAAAAAAAAAAAAAAATAAAAAAATAAAAAAATAGGGAAATAACACATAGGAGAGGAAAAATTGATTCTAATAATCCTACCTTTGGCCGGTTCACTATTAATAATCCCACCTTTAGATTATTATTATTTAATAATCCCACCTTTATAGGAGATCTTCTTCCATTGGTCCTTTACAACCGGTAACCTGAACATTGGGTAAACTTTATTTTTTTAATATGAGTGACACGTGTCATTAAATAATTGGTACAAAAAAAAAATAAACTTTTTTGTTAAAAAAAAAACCCAGCCAGCACCAACAACCACCCTAACCCCAACCTCCGGGCAGCCCCTCCTCCGCCGCCGAACCCCCATCCCCACCGCCGGAACCCCCATTCCTAC